ACAGAGTTACTGGAACCCATCCACATTCAGCACAGTATATACAGAGTTACTGGAACCCATCCACATTCAGCACAGTATATACAGAGTTACTGGAACCCATCCACATTCAGCACAGTATATACAGAGTTACAGGAACCCATACACATTCAGCACAGTATATACAGAGTTACTGGAACCCATCCACATTCAGTACAGTATATACAGAGTTACTGGAACCCATCCACATTCAGTACAGTATATACAGAGTTACTGGAACCCATCCACATTCAGCACAGTATATACAGAGTAACTGGAACCCATCCACATTCAGCACAGTATATACAGAGTTACTGGAACCCATCCACATTCAGCACAGTATATACAGAGTTACTGGAACCCATCCACATTCAGCACAGTATCTACAGAGTTACTGGAACCCATACACATTCAGCACAGTATATACAGAGTTACTGGAACCCATACACATTCAGCACAGCATATACAGAGTTACAGGAACCCATACACATTCAGCACAGTATATACAGCGTTACTGGAACCCATCCACATTCAGCACAGTATATACAGAGTTACTGGAACCCATCCACATTCAGCACAGTATATACAGAGTTACTGGAACCCATCCACATTCAGCACAGAATATACAGAGTTACTGGAACCCATCCACATTCAGCACAGTATATACAGAGTTCCTGGAACCCATCCACATTCAACACAGTATAAACAGAGTTACTGGAACCCATCCACATTCAGCACAGTATATACAGAGTTACTGGAACCCATCCACATTCAGCACAGTATATACAGAGTTACTGGAACCCATCCACATTCAGCACAGTATATACAGAGTTACTGGAACCCATCCACATTCAACACAGTATAAACAGAGTTACTGGAACCCATCCACATTCAGCACAGTATAAACAGAGTTACTGGAACCCATCCACATTCAGCACAGTATATACAGAGTTACTGGAACCCATACACATTCAGTACAGTATCTACAGCGTAACTGGAATCCATGCACATTCAGCACAGTATATACAGAGTTACAGGCACCCATCCACATTCAGCACAGTATATACAGAGTTACAGGAACCCATCCACATTCAGCACAGTATATACAGAGTTACTGGAACCCATCCACATTCAGCACAGTATATACAGAGTTACTGGAACCCATCCACATTCAGCACAGTATATACAGAGTTACAGGAACCCATCCACATTCAGCACAGTATATACAGAGTTACTGGAACCCATCCACATTCAGCACAGTATATACAGAGTTACTGGAACCCATCCACATTCAGCACAGTATATACAGAGTTACAGGAACCCATCCACATTCAGCACAGTATATACAGAGTTACAGGAACCCATCCACATTCAGCACAGCATATACAGAGTTACTGGAACCCATCCACATTCAGCACAGCATATACAGAGTTACTGGAACCCATCCACATTCAGCACAGTATATACAGAGTTACTGGAACCCATCCACATTCAGCACAGTATATACAGAGTTACTGGAACCCATCCACATTCAGCACAGTATATACAGAGTTACTGGAACCCATCCACATTCAGCACAGCATATACAGAGTTACAGGAACCCATCCACATTCAGCACAGTATATACAGAGTTACTGGAACCCATACACATTCAGC